TTTTTTTTACAAGGACAAACGGAGGAAAGATGGAAAAGACTTCTAGACAGACACAGTGTCCGGTTTCCAAAATACTCCAGCGTTACATTAAAGAGCTAAAACTTACAGTGCTCTTAGTTTTGACCGAATAAACTTTTTCACTGACATGGCGAATTTGTCTTTACTTTCCCGGAAAGCCTTTGTTATGTGCTATTGTTTTCGTGCGCCAATAAAAACTTTCTTTTTTGACGCCTGTCAAATGACTGTCAAATCGTGCGTCCTGCACTTGTTTCCGGTCCCCCAAACAGGAAGAAGCCATATAATAAACATCTTATTGGCCTCGTTTTTCGGTCCGTACTGTAAATTACGGATCCTCGTTTTTTTGCATCGATTTATGGCCCGCGCGCTTCGCGCTTGGGCCATAAATCGATGCAAAAAAACTCGGTCCGTAATTTACAGTACAGTATGTTGCCCAGTTTCCGGACACTTCAGTTTAACATTGCAATAACTTTCCTTTGTTAGTCGCAAGAGCTCTGAAATTTGGCCCAGAGAAAATCTATTTAGTCCTTAATATGACGAAAGACAGTTTAAATTTTTTGCCTTTGTTTCCATGGCGAAATTAATATTTCTGCAGAGCTCCTATGTTGCCCAGTATCCGGACAGCTGGCCCAGTATCCGGATACAACAATAACAACGTAATTGTACATAAATTTCGACAAGCAAGCGACTTATAAGCTTCTCTTGCACTTGCAAAGTAGTCTGGCAATCGATTCCAAAAATATAACCTAGCATCGTGAAATAAAACATAACAAATGACTGTGGTATGGTGGGGAACGCGAGCAGTTGTTAAATGTCATAACTCATACTTCCTTGTCTAGGAACTTTTTCACTGATTTAAGGAAGACATCCGTGGACATGCGGAAGCCGCGGTTTGCTAGCTCAATTAGCCAATCTGCAAACGACTTTTTTTTCTTCATTTTTCGTTAAAAAAAAAAGTGCTTGGGGAAGGGACCTCTATGCGACGGTCAAAGGTCGCTCTCCTATTCAGTCTGACCTGCAGTGTTGATTTCTTCATGCTCCGGCCCTGCAGACCCTAAATAAGCCTGCTTTTCTAGCACTAATTCCTCCTTCTTTCACTTCTCTCAATCCCTTTGTGATATTTTTCAGACCGTTGCAACCCCATCCTAGCAGTCACAACTGGGGAAAGTATGAGAATTCCTGGTTCAACTCCGACGCTTTCGGTTATATATAGAAAATGCAGTCACGCGAAACAAGCGGTGCACACGAAATCAAGTCGCCTCCGAATTAGTGAAGTTAAAGCCCCTCCGTTTATACGCCTTCCTAAAATCCCTTAAGAAGTTGTACATGTATAATCTCAGGGCTTATAAGCGACAATTTATGGTAAGGGACCGTTCACATATCTAGTACCAACAGAATGTCTTTTGTCATTTTCATGTAGCGTTTAATTTGATTCAATGAATTTTAACTTTAATTGTAATTTCAAAGGCTGTAACATTGCCAAATTTGAAAGTGATACGTCTTAAGCTTGCAAAGAGTTGAGAAAATTTACATACGTTTGTACGTGGGCGGGTGGGGGGGGGGGGGGGGG